AACCGGCCGAAGAAAGTACTCCACTGAGTGATATCGCCGGAGAAGTATTGTTTATCCTGGGGACAGAGACTCGCTGACGGCGTTGCGTTGGTAGTTGATATCGTCAACGCAAGAAAGAACAATAATTAAGACTGGTATCTGCTGCTTATCATCTTCCATGAACTGGAGCACGTGGGCTTCCCGACACGTTTCGTGTCTTGGATCAGGGGCCTGCACTCACACACTACAACGAGAATGTTAATCAACGGCTGGCTAGGTGATGGTATTGATGTGGTGTCCGGAGTTCAATAGAGCTGCCCGCTGGCACCGTACCTGTTCCTGTGCGCGGTGGAACCGCTGGTGCAGAAGTCAGAGAGGAGTGCTGGGCAACGCTTGGCATGGTATGCAGATGACACCCCTTTGGCCCCGCAGGGGAAGCAGCAGATCGATACGGCAAAGGTGTTGTTAGACAAATTTGAGCTGCAATCGGGTTAGGTGACGAAAAAAGCAAAGACGATGGTCTTACCTTTGGGACTGAACCTTGGGGAATTGGATGGGAGCACGTTCAAATGGGCGAAGTCGCAAGAAGCAGAAAGGTTGTTGTGGGTATGGGTAACTCCGAACGGCAACGGCCTGCCTACCTGGGAAAACGCGCTGGAGGAGATCATGAAGTGACTAACGCGTTGGAAGTAGGAGTTTCTTACGGAGAAGGCAAGGAGAGCGGTGGCGAATCACTACATCCAACCAGTGATGACTTTTCAGGCGCAGGTGTATCCGCCACCTGCAAACATTTGGAAGGAGCTGGAGAAGTCAATTCATAATTTCGTCACAGTCAATAAAGCGACAGCAACAAAGGTTTTCTTGCTCTGGAGCAAGGAGTTGCTTTACATCCCGAGACTAGACGGCGGTCTGGGAGTTCACGACCCAAGTGTCACACTCGCGTGTCTGGCTGCTAGGCGTATTGATTTGATGATGATGGAGGTAGATCAGCTTAAGAAGGAGTTGATGGTGCTTGCAGCAGACCTCCCGCTGGGCGTGTATACTTCACATCGTATGACCGGCTACTGCGGCACTGGAAAGGGAGGAGTCGGCGCTGGAAGCAGACGTGTGAGTCGCCCCTCAGCATTCGGACAGTCGTGGTGACGAGGGAGGAGATCCCGAAGGAGAGGATAGTGTTTAACCGAGCCATCATGATGGGAGTAACAGCGCTGGTGGGAGGACAAAGGCATGCAGAGCAGTTGTGGGACTGGACGCTGTGCGACCTGGTGAAGAAGCAGCAGGTCGGTAGCCACGTGCTGAAATTTATGGCGAAGCATATAGAGCAGATAGGAGGGAAGGGCCCTGCCAGGCTAGCGCTGAAGGCTTTCATAACTGCAACAGGAGAATGGAGGGAGGCCGTGCTGACTGTCGAGAAACGCTAGCAGAAAGTTAGAAACAGAAAGAGGGGTTGCACTAGCAGCAGGTAGGATACATATAGCAAACCCTAATTTGGGCTGTACTCACTATAGAGTACCCCACTGCAGACTAGACAATTATAGCATTCTAACACACCCCCATAGGCAAAGTGGGGTATAATCAGCACAAGCAGTCACACAAGAAGTTCACAAGCACAAGCAAAGCTAGAGGCAGTCACAGAGGGCAAGCGAGGAGGAGAAGGGACTATGAGAGGAGTGGAGATAGGAGGCGACGGGTAAAGCCGCAGACACACGGGCAACACATGCGGCGCGCACGGTGGCTACCGGAGCAAGGGCCCCGGACTACAGGAGTAACTCGCTCCGCAGCTAAGACGAGCGGCAGGGGCAACGGACCCACGGGCGACTGGCGCAGCAGGCTCGCTAGGCTACCGGAGCAAGGAACCCAGACTACTGGCGCTGCTGACGTCACAACGGCTACCTCCGCTTACCTTCCCCAACTGTCCCACACCCCTTTTACACACCCCTTGCTGCACCCCTAGCTCCACTCCCACGACACCCCCCTAGCGCCACTCCCTCGGCTCCCATACACCCACCCCCCTCAGCGGCAGCTGGAGCAGTGGGAGATGGAGGAGGAGGAGGAGCAGGGGACGGCTCACACACCCGCCACCTCCATACCTCCAACGCAGGCGGCGCGCGTGGGGCGTGGGGCAGATACACGGGCAGTAGCTGGGGTGGCGTGCGAGCGGAAGCGGGGCGGTGCGCGGGTCCCTAGGGCGCTGCGATGGGCGACGGGCAGGGCGGCGCGCGGGCCCCCAGGGCGCCGCAACCGTAGAGGGGCAAGGCGGCGCGCGGGCCCCCGGGGCGCCGCGACGGGCGACGGGAAGGGGCGGCGCGCGGGCCCCCGAGACGCTGCGACGGGCGACGGGAGGGGACAGCGCGCGGGCCTCCGGGGCGCCGCGACGGGCGACGGGAGGGGGGACGGCGCGCGGGCCCCTAGGGTGCCGCGACGGGCGACGAAACCGCCGCGCGTGCCCGGGGCGCGCGGCGGGCAGGAAACTGCCACCCGCTCCGCGCGCCCCGAGCACGCGGCGGGAAGAAAAAACGCCGCGCGCGCCAGGCGCGCAGCAGGCAAAACGTCGCGCGCCCCGGGCGCGCGACAGGCAGGATAGCAGCGGAAGCAGGTGGGCCCACAGGCCAAGAGCATTCTCGCTCTGATAGCATGTCAAGAAACGCTAGTAGAATATTAGAAACAGAAAGAGGGGTTGCACTAGCAGCAGATAGGATACACATAACAAACCCTAATTTGGGCTGTACTCACTATAGAGTACCCCACTACAGACTAGACAATTATAGCATTCTGACACTGACCCCATGCACGAACACGAATTTGGCTAGCTGGGGGTCTGCAGGCGGAGCGGCTCCTACACGCATTCCGATCCTGGAGAATGGGGGGGTGATTCCGTTGAAGAGGATGCGGAAACACTGGAAGGGGAAGTATGTGCAATAGCATCGGATGCTGCACTGGGCTGCCAGGTGGAGCGGTACAATTAACTGGAGAAAGATAATGGTTATACGGGAATCCTTCGTCACCCCCAACAGGCTAAGGGATGTCCTCACGTGGGTGTACAAATTCAATCTTCAAGTGGAGGAGAGGCTTGCCTTCCTCAGTGACAAACCTCTCTGCCCACACTGTAACAGCGAGGAGGCATCGGAGCACTATCTCTTCGCATGCCTGCGAATTCAAACAGTGATGACTTCTTTGAAGCGAGCCCTTCGCATGCTGAACTCACATTGGGTCACGTACTCGCAAGAATACCTCCTCTTTTGCAAGGCGGAAACAAGCACAGGTTTTCCGAAAGCAACCCTTATCGCGATCACGTTACCTCAGATTTGGCTGGAGCGGTGCGAAGCTGTCGTCAAGGGGGGCATATTCCGAGCGCACCGAGTGCTGAGAAGGATAATGTTCGCCTTTCGTTTATATGCGAGGGCATATGTGAAAGCAAGGTACGCTTCACATCGTGGCATAAGAAAAAGAAATTGGCGCAGGGGGGCAGTTTTCTCAAGGGCATATTGGAGGAGCAACGGGTGCTGAATAAGATACGGCTGGCAAATGATAAGAAGTGGACGCGGATTAGAGGTTTTGAGTCCATTTGGACCAATCCCAGGACACTCTAAAACCCACCATACCGGTAGAATCTTCGCTGGAGCAGACAAAATCTGCTCACACACGCAAGGTTTTACGACCGCTATCGTTATTGTGAATCTGTGATTGCGGTGTATACTTTCAACAATAATAAATTAATACAAAATCTATGCCTGCTATCCACAAAAAGGCCCTCTCACCCAAAAGTGCCTAAATTAAAGTGCGAAAGTTGGGATGTCAAAAGCGGCTGGGTCACCTTCATGCGCTAGCTGCATGGCACTGTGGTGGGGAGTTTAGGAACGCTAGCTCAAACTGCCACAAGGAATGCTAACTCAAAGAGCGTGTCCTCAATGACGTCACTGCTAAAGGCAGGCATACCCCCGGCATATGTAGGACAGGCAGCATTAGAGACCAATTGACCAGCGTAGTAAAGGTGATGGCTGGAGTCAAAGGCAGTTACATAAGCAATGAGAGATGAGACAGGCAGAGGAGGAGCCATAGGGTCAGGGACAGGGGAGGAAAAGAGGCTCATACTCTTTCGTTTCGGCACAGTAACAATGATGTGCTACTAAAAAATGGCGGGTCCTTGTGATGTGGTTTGCATGAAAAAGCACATCAATCGTGAAAATCTACGACTGAACCGCTGGACCACCCGTGACTTGGATCAAAACGTGTAGGTCGATGTGGCTTGAGCGACATAGGTGTCGCAATAGCAGAGTCATCGGCTTGACGAAAGTTTGTGGCTCGTTTACATTAGAGCAGGAGTTGGCGGACGAAGAACCGTCGAGCTCGTGGAGTGTGTTGTATGCGGTGGAGTCAGGAATTCGAAATGTTCCGTATAAATACATTGATTTTCTGCTGTGTGCATGTATTCATATATGATTATTGCAGGAAAGCGGAGCCCCTCATCCAGTTTATTTCCATTTTGAAGGTCAAGTTCTCTGTGTTCCGCTCTTGACTGCCACCCGGCGTAATATTATTGGTTGAACGTCCACAGCTGAGATGCGCCTCGATTCTTACGAGCCGCTGTCCCCCATTATCTTCTCCCGCCATTGTTGTGTGGTCCTTTCCTGTCCTTCCCTCCGTCGCTTCGTCCCTCAGACCGTTCCTGTTTTGTACCCACTCGCATTGTGGGTAGGATATCGCATGGTGAGACGTTGTCTGCATAATTCAAGCTCGAGTCGTTTACGTACATCTAAAGAAAGGCCTCCCGCCTTGCCTCTGATCTTCAAGATCTTCCGATCCTTCCCGACCGCGCTTCGGTTCTTCCGGACCTTTCGTTTCCGTATGGTCACGACTGATCGTGTACCCCTCCCAGCCACCCAGACTGTCATCAGCGCAGTTTCGCCGGAGCATGTCATGCCCGTATGTAGTCGCGCAAACCATCTCGTATTCCCACCAGAGCCTCTCAATTGTTGCATCTCCACAGCCAGCTTTGTCACCCTTCTTGAGTCGTCGCCAATATGGCTCGAGCTTGTGAGCTCGTGCTGCTTGCCGCTGTCGCCGTCCTCCTCGCAAGCACAGCGACGGCCTTCACAACGCCATCGTGCATCAAAGAGGCGCAGCAGCTGGTCAAAGTACTGGACGCCAAGCCTCAGTTCTACAGCGACATTTCGACTGAGCTGAAGAAGCTTATCAAGGCTGTTAGTAAGTAGTAAGGCTGTTTTTGCTACTTAATAGCTGCACGTTCAACGCGGAAATTCGACTCACGTCTTTGCCCACACTGACACCCGCCGTCGGCCTTTTCTTCGCAGAGAAGGGTTACGATGTCGGAGAATTCTACGACAGCACGCTGCTGCTGCCAACCAATCAGGCTCTCAAGGCGGCGTAAATCAACCCAACCAAGATAAAAAACAACGAGAAGCTCTACCGAATCCACATTTTCGACGGCCAACTCGACAGCATGGCCGTGGGTGACGTGCAGATGACCTCGCAGCCCGGTGTGAGCGTGAAGGTTTTCAAGGCGCGCCCGAGCGCGTCGCCCATGAAGATGGCGGTCCGCCTTGTCAAGTCGAAGAAGCCGCCGGTTCCGGTGCTGGCGCATCTGCACACGGGCACGGGGAACTGCTTCGAGGCGTACGGCATCGGCGGCGTGCTGTCCTAGAAGTTGTCACGGGCCGTCGTGTCGTTTGCAACCGTCACGGTTCTATTTTATTGTCTTTGGCATTCCCAGATGCTGGGAAGTTTGGAACGCACGACTTCCCCAAGTGCATGTGAGCAATGCAGTAATTCATGGATTCTGATGAGTGCACGGTTCTGCCCAAAACGCAAACAGCACGGGAGAAATGGGCAAAAACGACGGCACAACAAGCCTCTGCTCTAGGCAAGAAACTGGCTATTTTGAACGCACTCTGTAAATGGGAATAACCAATAGGACATGGTCTGTTCTCATATGTCAGAGGACATGGTTTGATTTCACATGGTCTGAGGACATGGCCTGTTCTCTCATAGTCAGAGTAATGTAATGAAATTGGATGAAAGTCACATCACATACTAACACTTGTTCGGTAGGTGCCACTGTTGAACCGGATGGAGCACAGAGTGTTGTACAGCATGACGTGGCATGCTGTTGTTGAGCATGTGGTACTTCTGTGTGTGGCAGCGTGAGATGAAGTGTAACACCTCGCTACTCACTGGGTCAAAACGAGGGTGTTATTTGGCGCAGCGGAATGCCCATTAACACTTAGCCCACAGGCGTTACACTCGTCCCCCCCTGGTGTCAACGTCCCCGTTGATGAACTTCAGGGAGTCGGCCCCCGCAGGGATCTGTTCGCTGTGCTCCAAGCAGCGGCTTCGCTGGTGGACCAGGCCAGCGGAGGATCGTTCGCTGGGTTCGAGCTGGTTACAACCGCACTTCAGTTCTCGCCAAAGGCGGAAAGTGTGGTCCAGCCGGGAATCGAACCCTAGGCTCTGATACCAAATGTAACACCTCGCTACCCACTGGGTCAAAACGAGGGTGTTATTTGGCGCAGCGGAATGCCCATTAACACTTAGCCCACAGGCGTTACATGAAGGACGGAATGGCACGCTTCCTGCGCCTCGGGGTTCCAACACCAGCCTCACCGTCACTCGCATGGCCACTCCTACGCCTCGGGGTGCCAACACCAGCCTCACTGACTCTTACATGCCCGCTCCTACGCCTCCCACTCTCCTCCCTATCACTCGCCACTGCCACAACCGCCCGATCCGCTATTGCCCCTCCACCCACACCACTGCCACTCACTTCTGCTCTGCCATTCGCGCTCGCGACCCCACCATCTCCCCTCATCGAACCATCCTCCTCCTCCTCCTCCTCCTCCTCCTCCTCCTCCTCCTCCTCCTCCTCCTCCTCCTCCTCCTCCTCCTCCTCCTCCTCCTCCTCCTCCTCCTCCTTCTCCTCCTCCTCCTCCTCCTCCTTCTCCTCCTCCTCCTCCTCCTCCTCCTCCTCCTCCTCCTCCTCCTCCTCCTCCTCCTCCTCCTCCTCTTCCTCCTCCTCCTCCTCCTCCTCCTCCTCCTCCTCCTCCTCCTCCTCCTCCTCCTCCTCCTCCTCCTCCTCCTCCTCCTCCTCCTCCTCCTCCTCCTCCTCCTCTTCCTCCTCCTCCTCCTCCTCCTCCTCCTCCTCCTCCTCCTCCTCCTCCTCCTCCTCCTCCTCCTCCTCCTCCTCCTCCTCCTCCTCCTCCTCCTCCTCCTCCTCATCGCTGCTGTCGCTGTCGCCATCGTTCCACTCCTCCAGCTGCTATTTCTCAAACGAGTGGGGCAGCAGGTCCTTGCGCGTCAACACACCCACCACCTGCATGCGCTCGCGCACCACGCACAGGTGGCGCAGCCCCATTCGCCGGAAAATGGCGTACGCCTTGCGCAGGCTCATGGCCTCGCCCACCACGTGGGGAGAGGTGTTGCAGAAGGGGTGCAGGTCCAGAAACATGTCCTACTCCTCTGCACTCAGATCGACATCCTCGATACAAGGAGTCTTCTTAACGTTCACTATCGCAGTCGCCGTGCGGTGCTTGTGGGACAGAGATTTTGCCAGTCTCTGCCCTCCCACATGGCCACCTTCAGCTGTGCCCCGTGGCGTCTCCCCATTGGCCCTCAAACCGCACGGTACGCTGGGTAGCAGGTCAGGGTTCCAGCACAGCAGCAGCTACAGTGTTGGTAGAAAGAAGAAAAACTTGTGAAGGGGATTGGTGCGAGCGGTGCAGAGAGTGCCGCGCTGGAAGGCGGACTTATCCGCTAGCAGCTTGAGCAGCTTCGAGCGCAGCACCATGCCGTACAGCACCGCCCGCACCTCCCCCTCCCCCTCCCCCTCACCTCCCCCCTCCTTCTCCTTCTCTCCCAGCTTTCCCCCCTCCCCCCCACCCACAATCTGCACGACAGGGAAGGCGGAGTGGGTGGTGGTCTGCAGGACTCTCAAAACCTCCCCCACGCGCTCCACACTCTTCAGAGCTACACCCGGGCCCCTCACTCCGTCTGTAGCTGTAAGTTCTTCATGAACTCGAGCAGAGGGTATTCCAGCATCGGTAGACGTTTTAAGTGGCTCGCCTCGTCAACCACCCCTTCGTTGAAACAGTCCCCCACCTCCTTGGCCATGGTTGTTGTGAGCATGATCAGCGGCAGGAGATTTTTCCTGGTAACTTCCAGCAGCATGACGGAGAGGGAGACAACCATGCGCATGGAGCCGCCCAATAGGGACGCGGTACCGAGCAGCGCGTACCTCCTCTCGTCCAATCCCGTGTAAGAATTGGATTCTCCGAACCAGAGCAACCTGGCAGACCAAAGGGGAGGGGTGAGGGAGGGGGAGGTGGAGGAGGTGAGTGAGCGCATGAGCTTGCCCATCATGCGGCCGTACGTGCTGCCTGCCACTATGAGTGGGACGAAAAGGCCGGGTGCACGGAGCAGCCATTAGTGATAATGGCGAGCGAGAAGAAGACGAGGAAGAAGATTGCCAGCGTGGCGTGGCTGCGGTGGGGAGGGGTTGGGAGGAAAGTGGGAAGTGGGGGTGCAGTGAGAAGGGAAAAAAGAGAAGGAAGCAGAAGGCCAGTGTGTGTGGCTGTGATTGTGGGGGTGCAGAAAGAAGATGAGGAACGACCAAGCTAGAATGAACAGCTCAACAGAGGCACAAAGGACAAGGAGCGGGGGAAGCACTGGCTTGCGCCAGAGTGGTGGATAGAAAGTGTGGAGTGGCGAATATGATGGGGAAAGAGGGTGATGTGATAGGAAAAGAATCTGAAGTACGAGACAGCTGATGAATTGAAGGCATGAACAGCGAGTGGCAAGTTTGAGTGCAGCGGGAACTCAACAGGCTAGCTGTTGAGAGAGAATTCTCACAAGTGTAACACACAGATAAAATGCAAAAACTCACGTGTACTGGGCAGGCGAGCTGGAGAAGAGGTTGTCGTTGGTGATGTTACACTACACATTGTAATGTAACTATCTTCAACATCTTGAAGTGTACCCTTGTGGCGAGCTTCGAAATCACTTGAGGCTTGACACTAAGGCTTGGGTTCTTCATCACAAACTCGTCCTTGAGTTCTTGATGGGTCTGCTGCCCACACCTGCGACACGCTGAATGTACCACACACACGACAAAAATAGAAACTGCGCGACACATACAAACGACAAGATAGAAACCGCGCGAGACACACAAACGACAACGTAGACACGCGACTAGCAATGACTCGCTATTGACTCGACACACACTCACATTCAACATCAAGGCCCATCACTCACACAATATTATGAGCAAGAATTTTATATTATCTCATGCCTCTCATACCATTCCATACACACACGCATGCACACACACGGACAACAAGCCGAGTGCAAACCGTAGGGTTGCACCAACAAACTCACCCTCGGGTTGTTGCCCGTAGGATCTGTTGCTCTCAGTTCAGAGCCATCCCAGCCAGCTTGCAACACTACCAATGCTACTACTCCACCAGCATCTGGTCATCATATTAGCTGGCTGCCCCATCGTCTTCACATAGTGCAACTCAACCTCACCCGCGGCTACCATGCTCCTCGTCTAATGCCACTTCACCCTCATGTGTTTGGTGAGGCCGTGCAAGACAGAGTTCTTAGCAAGAGCAATGACACCCTGGCTGTTACAGTAGAGTGGGGTAGGTCCCTGCTGCTCCTCCCCCAATTCAACCAACAAACGCCGCTGTCACACAATCTCCCGTACGGCACAGAAGAGTGCCATGTACTCGGACTCCACCGAGCTCAATGCTTGATCAACTTGCTTCTTGCTCTCCCAAGCAGTTGGGCCTCCACCAACACAGCAGTTGAAGCCTCCCACGCTTGTCATTTCCTCTGGTTCTGATGCATAAGAGGCATCGGAGAATGCGGTGAGGAACAAACGCCCGGATTCAACACCATCCGCGCCCTTTTGGCGCCTTTGCGCCGCCGCCGAGTATTGCAGCCCAACGGCCGGTGTTTGGCCAAGGTACTTGGCCACCCTCATTCCAACTGCTACCTGCTCCTCATTAGGGCATTGAACAACCCTAGCAACCTGCCCGGTAGCGAAGGCAGCGTCCGATCAGGTGTTTACCGCCGCATACATGAGGCTGCCCACCAACGAGTGAAAACGGCGCCTCTCCTCTTCACCAACGCTCTCCACCTCTGGTCCTTTCACACACTTGAACCCAGAGGGAAAGGGAGTAGCCACATGGCCTTCACTCTGCCCAAAGTTGGCACCCTAGGCCTCCAGGTACTTGCGTTGGTGCACCCGCATGCACCGCTTCTCCACGTCACGCTCAATGTGGAGCCCAAGGTAGAAGTTGACGTCACCAAGGGACTCGCACTTGTTCTTGTCTTGAAGTTTCATCATCACCTCCTTCACAAGGTCAGAGGAAGGTGAGAAGATGAGGATGTCATCCATGTACACCACCATGAAGCTCCTCTGCTCCCCCTCGCCAAGCATGAACAAAGAGTGATCGGCCGTTGAGGGAGTGAAGCCGATCTCCTCCAACACTTCGCGCTGCTTCATGTACCATTGCCTAGGGGCTTGCTTCAGCCCATAGAGGGCCTTCTTCACCTTCCACACTCTGCCACTACCATCATCAAACCACTCTGGCTGCGCCATGAAGATCTCTTCGTCTAGAACGCCGTTGAGGAATGCCGTTACAATGTCCATCTGCTTCACCACCCATCCTTTGATGGCGGCTCCCGCGAGTAGGGTCCGCAGCGTCATTGGCTTCACCACAGGAGCAAACAGCTCCTTGAAATCCACCTTCTCCTTCTGCTGGTACCCCTTAGCCACAAGCCTAGAGTTGTAGCATTCGATCATGCCGTCGGCATCCGACTTGATCTTGAAGAGCCACTTGGACGTAATCGCCTTACGCCCCTCCGGTAGCTCCACTAATTCCCACGTGTCAATCTCCTCAAAACTCTTCAGCTCACTCTCCATGGCCTTCTTCCACTCCTCAGCATCACTTCTCTCCAAGGCCTCCTTAAGAGTTGCTGGTTCTCCCGGCATCTCCACCAGGGAGAAGAACACGAACACACATTCCTCGTGGTCACACTCCTCGTCGTCTCCGACCATCATTGCCGCTCCGGCCAGGGCTGACTTGCCCTGCTTTCCCGGTGCATCATAGGTCACCCTATTTGGGGCTTGAACTCTCCTCTTGCCCATTCCTTCCTCCTCAGCAGCAGGGACTTGAAGGCCTTGGCGTTGCTGCGTTGTGGCTCGGATCCGTGGAGCACTCGTAGTGCGAAAAGGAAGTGTCGGTGCACGCTCGCTCACTTGCTGCACCTCCTCCTCTTCTTCCTCTGCATCCTTTGCCTCCTCTCCCCCATTCACAAGGGAAGATTGCCTTCTGGTACTGCTGCCGCTGCTCAGCTCCAAAGGCAGGTCCACTTGCTCCAGGCCGGAACTCTTCACCTCCCCAAACCGCATGCCTATCTTTGCCTCGTTCCCCACCTTCCAATCCTTGTACATGAAGTTCTCCATGAACTTGCAATCCTTGCTCACCATAAACTTCTTGGTGAATGGGTCCCAAAGGAGCCACCCCTTGCTGTTTTGAGCCATGCCCAAGTGCACAGCCTATATCGCCTTGGCACCAAGCTTGTTGTGCCGAAGATGCTTAGGTACGAGCGCCATGCACATGCACCCGAACACCCGAAGCATATCCACCTTTGGCTTTTTTCCACATAGGGCACCCATTTGTCTGCTTCCACATGGTGAGGAAATACTCTGCTCCAGCAGCTCCAAGCTTCACGGGGGCCACCACGTCCATCACCACCTCATCAAGTGGTGCCTTTGCCGTTGCCTCCGAACTAGGGAACGGAAACCGGGTACACTTGGCTTGCACGTCGGGCAACCAAGCACCTCATCCGGCTCCCCCTTCACACGTATGCCAGCAACCATCTCATTCTTCATTAGCTATTGCAAGATAGGCAGGGCCACATGCCCCATTTGCCAATGCAAGGTGAGCCAATCACACTCCCCCGTAGCCGAAGTCGGATTGGAGAATGCCGCGCTCGCAATAGCGCCCCACATGCTCTCTTCGTACTCCTCGTCCGCTGCTGCCTCGGGGTTCTCCTCACCCTTTTTCTGCTCCTTGCGTGCTGCACCACTATCCTTAGGTTCACAATGCTTGCTGGTCCCTCTAAGATTCCACTTGTTGGACTCATTCTCCTTAACGCGACCGTTCGCGCCAACGCTGCTACCAGCCGCTTCACCCTTGGTGTTGACGTTTGCTGCCACTTGCCTCTCCTTAGGCATGGGGACCACAGTGATCTGCCACATCTCGTTGTAGAAGTCCCTATCCTCGTGAATGTCCCAAAGAATCCGCTCGCCAAGCCTCGCGGTGCAGGTTTTGCCTCCCTTCGAGTTCGTGTCCATGCCGGCCTTTGCCAACTGCCGCATGGAAATCAGGTTCGCAGCAAGGCTAGGCACCCAAAGCGCGTTCTTGAGGCCCACCATCT